AGGAAGAAATTCCGGTGAGGCACTGGAACAGGTTGCCCAGAGAAGCTGTGGATGCCTCATCCCTAGAAGTGTTCAAGGCCAGGTTGGATGAGGCTTTGAGCAACGTGATCTAGTGGAAGATGACCCTGCTCAAGGCAGGGGGTTTGGAAATAGATGATCTTTAAGGTCCCTTTCAACCCAAACCATTCTATGATTCTATGAAGACCATGATTAAATGGATGTGAGACCAGCTGCTGCTTCATTCTCCTTGGCCATGTATGGCAGGACAGGAGCAAAGATATCAGCTTCTGTTTCCTGATTACCTGCAGCCTCTTTTCACATCCTGAAGGTAAGAAAACCTCAGCTGAATCAATGTATTGCTACACTGACACTTCAATCAACAGAGCTGAAACAAAATTAACAACTTCAAGTGCTCATCACAAAACCTTGCGTGGAAGAACCCAATGTTCGAATCTTCCAGCACCTCTCCGGGGAAAGATCTCCATTTCTAGCCATACTGAGAGCAGCAGCTGGTGATCAGAAAGGCATTACACAGCACTGGAGGTGGGGTGCAGCTGCTGAGACAGGTGCTGTGTCCCAATCACCCACACACATCATCATTCCCTAGCGCATTTCCCATTGAAGGATGGGCTCACTTTCATATTAAAAAAAAAAAACATTCTTGCACCTGCTGGAGGACATCACCTTGCCATCATGCAAGTCCCCGCACTCTGGAAAGCGATTATGCTAGCCCAGCACAAGCAATGCAGAACACCTCTAAGGATTTTTTTTTTTTCCCCCCTCTTGTAGCTTAGATTTCTGCTCTGCACACAGCTGCACTGGGACACACTGTCCAAAAACAGCTAGCTCCACATCTGGGCTGCCTCATCACCTGCAGGAGAAGGGCTGCAGCTGATGGAATGAAGCAAGCAGCTTTTTTTGTGGAAACGGTAAACGCAAAGAACATAACCAAAGCAGAAAGCATGGCCTCTTACACAAGAGCATACTCTGGTTTTCCCAAAAGTTTTGTCATTTCTGTTGCTTGCAGAGACTGGGGAGACGAAGTTTGTGCTCTGCAGAGGCAGGTAAAGGACTGCACTCCAGATTTCTCAACCTCCCCCACCACCATTCCAGTAGAGCTGGCAACAGGGACCCTGTACCAGTACAATGTACCCTAAACAGGGATGCATTTCCTGTCTACAATCCTGTCCCACATGGCTACAGCTCTAAGACCATCACCAACGCCAAAGTGGCCAGTAAAGGTCATGACAGACCTAGAAACACCAGTCTGAGGCCCAAGGTGATTTACAGTAAGTGGCACAGCCAGCTAGCCTGACACAGAGAGATCAAGCACGCTGGAAGCCTGCCCACCACCAGAGAGCGCCTCAGCACCTGTCAAAGGCTAAGCAGTCAGCTAGCAAGGGAGAAAGGTGATCTACAGTGCAGAACGTTTGGTGACTTTCAGAACACACGATGAGGAAAGGGCCTGCAGAGTCACCCACAGTGCTCGGTTTCCATCAGCAGCGCCAGTGCTGCAATTCCAGTAAGGGGTATAAATAACAGCAGAGGAGAAGCCAAAGAGCCACCTACCTACAATGCAATGGCAGGGAGAGGGTAGGAAAGTCCCCAGCACCACATATAGTCTTTATCCACTTGGCCAGACTGTCCCCTGACGATTCTGCATCTACGCCAGGACAGGCAAGCACATGTTAGATTGCACACACCATTTCTGCGCAGAGGGAAGCACAGGCTTTCCAGGTACCAGGGCAGCAAAAGTGCAAGCTAAATAGCAGTGAACAGCTGACAGCTGTTGTACACATACAGTGGCAGACAAATATACATGTAACAGCCCTGAGCACCTGGGAAGAGGTGCATTTAAGAGACTTCTCTGCCACTACATGTTTATGAGGCTGCAACTCATCCAAAAATTTTGGACTGGGCTTATTTGGTGGAGAAAGGAATCACAATGACACACTGGGAGTCATAAGCTTTCAGATAAATCCCAGCACCCTAACAGCCCAGACAGAGGAAAATGTTGGAAGTCAAAAGCAGCGTTCTAAGAAATAAGGGCTGGAATCTGTAAGCAAAAGGGAACTGAGCCTATCAGCAGCATCCTTTCACTTCTAAATGAGAGTTTAGGAGGGGAGGGAAAGCTGGGCACGAAGGGAGAGTTGAGCGCAGTTTCTAGGATGCCATTCCAAGTAAGAATCCTCCAGCAAACCCTCCAGTCAGGATAACATTCTTCTTCAGAAATATGATCACCTAAAGCAGGGGAGAGAAGAGTCAACAGTGTTCAACGACAGCAGGTCACCCATCCACCCTCCCCATAAGAAGACATCCCTCAGACTGTTCTCCGAGGTGAATGATGCTTGGAGAGAGTTCACTGCTCGGGTCTGGGAAAATATGCTACCCAATGACCTCCCCTCCCTAATCTCCTGGCTGCATGTATAGCTCCTGAACTGATCTAGTCTCAGATCTCAGCCCAGATCATCCAAGAGCTGCAGTCCAAGCCTACATGCTCCAGGGCTCTCTCACAACCAGCACAGTCAGTCAGACAGATGGGGCTGCTGACTGTGCACACCGGACAAGGGTACAGCAGAGTCCAGGGTCACTAAGCGACTCTGCTGCCAGAACTGCTTAGCTTTTCTTGTCAGACTGAACAGACACTTTTCCCAAAAATCCCAGCACACTTTCTCTCAACTTCATGGAATTTGCAGCAACATATGGTGAGCTGGCGTCATGCCTAAGAAGCAATCCTTGCTGTTTCAAATATGCATAAATAGCTTTGCCATCTCTCCAGTTTTGCTGTCATGCAAGCATTCCCTCCTTGTATTTGCACAATGGAAGATCTATAAGTGCCCAGGAATCAATCCTGTTTTGTGCTGTCCCTCCAGCCAAGCACCTGCACACGCCCTTGGGAGAGCTGCCTCACCTCATCCACTCTGCTTTTCACTTCTGTAGACGTTTTGTTACCACTGCTGTGAAATTTCAGCTGCTGCTTGGCTTTGTTCACATCCCGTTCCACCAGCTTCCAGTCCACTTTGATGTATCCCGTATGGTTTGCAATCTAGAGTTTTGAGGGGTGGAAAGAAAGCTCCTGGAGTAACGTCCTGCGTGACCATGGCTAAAAAGACTCCCTTGCCCACCAACCTTCCCTGACCACAGCCACCTCCACAGTCCAGTGGGCTAAGAGGATGAGCACATCAGCTTAAAAACTGGACAAAGGACCACCCCTATGGCTGTATTAAATGTCCTGCAACATCTGTCTCCCACAGTAATCCCCTATCAGCAGGGCACACATTGCAGCTTAGACTGTTTCAGCCTCTATTCTCTAACGCAAAGCTGACATCAACTCCCCTTCACAACTGCCATGTATATCATTGGGGCTCTCTGTAGTTCTCTTGCTGCTGTGGGTGGACACAGCTATTAATATAGCCTGTTCCTCTCCAAATAGTTCACACAGACCTGAAGCAGGAAAAAGCCACCTCCCACCGCTGTTGCTGCCAGCTTTCCAACTTTCTGGAAGATGAATCCAGTGCACCTGTAAATCAACAAGGATCCAGTCAGGAGAACAAAATACCGAACACAGGCTCCTCAGCATGCTTCCCACGGGCAAGGCTGCCTTTGGCAGTAATTACCCAAGACTTGGAGACAGCCTGAGAAACAGCAGAAGAAACCAATATGCAACCAGAGAAAAAGAGAAAGGATATAACTTTTTACCTCTCACTACCACATTTCAGCCTTTTGCAGGTTTTATTCTTATCTCTTCAGCATCAACTTTCTCCCAAAAGAGTAATCAGAAACACATGATTTCACCAAAACCAACAAGTGATTTTAACTTTTTTTTTTTTTACTGGTATCATCTCTGAAGGGAAATTAGGCGGCTCATCTGCTGCTGCTCCATGATAGAGCATAGGAAGCAGATCACAAGGCAAGCTTCTTCGTTGCCCAAACAACTGCTTACTTCTCATTTCTCAGAAGAGAAAAATGCTGAAGCAAGCAGACAGCAGTGGTCTAAAGCTATACTGGTCTCCAAACTGGGTTACAAGCTTTCAACATGAAAGACACCACTGCAGCCACCAGAACTCAAGCAAGTGCCACCCCATTGCTCAGTCATGCAGCAAAGGGCCAGTGTACTGTATCATCCAAAACAGACTTTACTATGACCACAGTTTCCTTATCAACATGGCAAAACAACACAGCAACCTGCTCTTACCCATTTCTCAATACATACACTTAATGAAGATACAAGAGAGAGGTCGCCAGCTCGTATTTTTACCAGATCTGTCATACACTTTTAAACGATTACCCCTGTGCCAGACAAAGATGACAGGCAGGGCAAGCAGCAAAGCAGTGTGATTACACCAAGTTTTCAACTTGGACCATGCTGCTGTGAGAATGAAGTTGCAAATAGTGCCACAAGCCACCAGCCCCAGCACTTGCTACAAGCAACACGAAACCTCAGGAACCATGCTCACAGGCACAATAAGCCACCTACGTAGGAAATTTTTATGCAGATAACTGAAGCGCACCTATCTCCAGGGAAGAAGGTATCCTTGTTCCAAGAGGCTCATATTTGCCTGTCCTAAATTCAACAGCACCACTTTATGCTAGAAGCTAAAGAGAACTATCTCACCTCAAAAAATCCTGATGCTATTTTCTTCCCTAGGAGATAGCCTCAGTTATTCAGCTCCATGTTAGAGACAGCTTTTAAGACCTCTCACAGTTCAGCAGAGGATGCCAGTGCACAGTGAGCTGAGCACGCTGGACACCTGCCTTCTTTGCAAGTCTGCCTGATGACTACCCTGCACCTGTCAGCATGTTTCCAAATTCCCCGCCCCCCCCCCCTGCCACAAGCAGCAACAGCAACCTCAGCACATCTTACCATCCTGTGACCCCTCCAATCACCAGCTGTGTGGCCACGTTGTATTTCTCAGCACTCGACCCCGAGCTGGGGGCGAAGACCTTGCGCCACCAGGGCCGGTTCTTGGTGTACTCCGCCAGGTCCAGCACATTGAACGAGTCCTCCTTCACACCTGCAGGCACGTGGAGAAGCTCAGTGCCAGGGCTGCTGTACCACAGTCCCCTGCCAGCTGCCCAGGGCCCCCCCAGGGACCCGGGCCCACTCACACAGCTCACAGGGTCCGGTGCTCCC